ACCAACGGGACCCAATACAAGCTTCGCGACCAGTCCTGTTCATGATGAGGCTGAGTATCTGCCTTCTACAAGTTGCATTACGAACAGGACGACTGCCCAACGTCTCTCGCTCCACTGGCATTCGATTCTTCTGGTGCTGCTACCAGTTATAGATTCGAATACGGTGAGCCGGAGTCGGAATCGCAACCTTTCTCTCAGCCTTACGTGCAAGGACACGAAGTCTTGGTTGATGCCTACGCCCAGCGGATGTTTTTGGAGCTGCTCGAGCTCCGTGCTATGAGCTATCTCACAACCACTATGCTGGCTGCCGCTGATAGTGCTGATCTCGATATCGGTAACAACTACGAAGACACGACATCTGGCAGTTCGCACCCCTTCGAGGTGTTCGACTTGAGGTGTATACCGCCTATTAGTGTACGTTCTCCCGAGCTCCGTGTTAGCTATCCTTAGAATGCTATTGTCCTTTGTTCTTTTTTGACACAGCGGCGACTGAATCAATGGCTTGCTTTCTGTCATGTCGGAGAACTTCAATGAATTACACGCTTTTTTTATGAAGGTCAGGCAAAGAAAGGGAAAAATCGCTATAGATAGAGAATTGATAATCGCAATAACGTCGATATAATATACATGTGACAAGCAGTGAGTGAAAGAAGAACGTGAACGAGCGTCCAGACCAAACCAAACAAATAACCTTCGAAAAGACCAAAGAAAGTGAAATACAGACTCGAGAAAGCAGCAGACAAAGAGGCCTCTGAATCGAATTGCGCAAGGTGCTGCAAAGGGAAGTAACGATAAAAATGCACTATATTCGTAAATACCGGAAGATGGAGGTACGTTCGTGAAGAATGCTTGAAAACAAGCTCGCTCAGGACAACTTCGTTTTCTTGGTGAGAACATTCGACAAGTCACCCAGCGGTAATTTGAAGGGCATATCGACAGACTCGAACATCAATGCCACAAATTGATATGTCGCGACGCAGACGACGACAAACTCAAATGCTCCTCCAGCTTTGGCTAGTACGAGCCACAAAACAGTTAAAGATCTAAAGCCAAAGAGAACCAAGAAAGCTTACCTAGAGCGTTTGCGAGAGGTATATTTCCATTTCCTAGCTCTCCGTAAGCTGCAGCGTTGAGGCCATTAGCGAGCTGATATTGAAAAATATTCCCTAAAAGGTACCACTGGTTAAAAATCACGCTGGGAAGTATACTTTACCAGAGACTCACCGCCAGTGCAACGTTTATCCTCAAGCTTGTCAGGAAGTAGACGATTGTCAAGAAGGTCCAGAATGCAAAGTAAAATATGAGTGCTTTGTTGTAGTCCGGTGAACTGGTGCCCCCAGGAAATGTCGATGCAATTTCATGGGCTGGGTCTAAGAGGGCCCCAATCGAAAGCCTTGAAGATGATGGACAAACCGACTGAGAGACTATACATGGAGAAGGCAAAATAAAATTACCAGTTTCCGCCGAATGTTATAAACGCGACGCAAGGAAAAGTATTACCTACGAGCTGGTGGTCGTTAGCACATAGCCTATTCACCAGTAAATTTGAGCTTACCCATTCCATCACACCCGCAATTATAAGGCCAAGCCCACCAACCATATAATAAGTCCCGAAAAGGGCAGTATTCGCTGCTACAGTAGTGTTTCCCCACCCCATCTGAATAAATGCAGTTGGAGCTTGTACCAGAATGAATGTAATCATTCCGAGCGGTGTGGGATTTCCAAGATTCTTCGCCAGAGGTATGTAAGCGGGGTATCGAAGGAGCCGTTCATACTGCTCTGAAGTGAGTTGGATCGGAGAGCGCTGATCTGAACGTTTGGAAACCTCAATCTCTTCAATGGATGCCTTCTCTAGATCGTTTACAGAGTTTGAGGCCATAGTGGGAAGATACGAGAAGATATAAGTCGATATTTGTCTTTTTATCGGATAGAGCCTGAGATGGGGTGAGAAGACTCCACACATCCTCTTCGTACAAATGAAGTTCATTTTCAAGTGCACCATGATCTTTCGGACATATCACTGGGTCTAGTTGTGAGAGAGAGGCGTTAAATACTCTTGTATCACTGGGTCTATGTGTGAGAGATGCATTAAATACTCTTGACGAGAAAAGAACTTACTTCCATAATGTGGACCGTGCCAAGAGGTGGTGGAAATTCTATTTTCCGAAAAAAAAGGTTAGAATTTCTGTCTCCAAGTCGCCTCTTCTCTGCTGATATTTGCGCCAAACAGATACGAATTGCCTTGACCCGGTGAATACCGCTAATATAGTAGAGGGACCAATATCAGTCGTACAATCAGGGACATGGTGTTCTTTTACTTTTTACGCTTTTCCGCTTTGGGATTCGCAAAATTCATATCGTACTCTCGATTATAGCCAGCTCTTGAAAGGACTCTGAACATTCGACACAAATCAAGCCACTGTTGATAGCGTTTTTCTTGAAAATACCTCCAAAGGAAGTGGCTATAACTGGAGAAACACCAGCGACTTTGAGAGCGATACGCTTAAGGTGTCATTTGTAGTTCGATCGCCCGCTTTTAGCTCCAGCAACGTGTAAGCGAGGTCGGATACACGACGAGGTAGGCTTTGTTGATGAGAATTTCTGGGCTTGAAGGGCTCGGTGTCGATACTTTTGATTGAGAGATCCTTTTTCGATTGCAGTTTGGGAAAAGGTGGGTGATAGGTTGTCAGCGCGTCGTAGCATTGAACTGAAGTCAAGGTCCTGAAATTTACTCTGCCATTGTTTATACCATCAAGAGTATCCAGCTATAGAGTCGGTCTCATGCAAAACCGAGCTCGTACCTGAAGAAGCACGTTTCCGTTGCTGCCGGTAGTTCGCATCACCGACGCGCTAGCGCCACACTATGACGCAGCAACTTCCGAGTGGCCGTGCGCATCTACAGTGACAAGCTGGCTCAAGGTAGCAGCAAGATACTTCAATTTCAATCCAGAAACTGCAAAGCACGCTTCCAGCAGAGTCATCCGAGGAAGCAAGGGCGAAGAGAGCTAAGATGAGTCCATCCAAAAACGGATATATATAATCAAATTGAAATATCTCCTGGGTTTCACGGTAAAATCATAAATGAAACACACATACAATCGTTGAGCTATGGAGGCGGAGGCTATGATGGCTTCCTGAATGAATCTTTACCCTGCTACGTCTCTCCCTCCAAACAAATTTGTCTAATGCGTCGACGATTCCTCTTCTTCACTGGGTTTGTCATTTATTCTCTTCTTTTCCAAATTCCGAGTCGTATCCACCATTGGAGTCAATCGCTCCATCGATGATACCCTAGGCGATTCCGTCACTGGACAGAGGCCTACATTTCTACCTGGTACCGCAGGCGTTTGGGAGGATAACACCTGCTCAGGATGTGCTCTTGCTCCTGATGTCAGTAAAGCTTTTGACCAAACATATACTGCTGCGACCTACAATCCTGATCTGAATAACATCTCTATATCGTTTGATTTTACTGGTGAGTGAAGAAATTATTCACCTTGTGCTCGACTCATTCCTACGTGTAGGCACCGCCATCTACGTATTTTTTCATTCTCTCAAACTGATGGCGATCCAGACATTAGTTCCTCCACGAAAGGCCAATTTTACCCTCGACGGGACATTGGCCAGCACGTTTACCCATACACCCGACACCAGTACCAGTGCTCCTGATTTTTATTTCAACGAAAGTGCTTTGGCGTTCTCAAAAACTGGCATGAAAAACATTAGCCACCAGATGGTGATTAGTACCTCGGGTCTTAACTCCAGTGAGTTCAACTTTAGTTGCGTATCGTGACCATGCTAACCGACACCTCCTTTCTATAGATTTCTATCTGAACTTTGATTACGCCCTTTATACGTGAGCTACTTTTGCAATCCGTAGCCTGAGACCGCAAACTCAGCCTCGTTATCGTGTTTGCAGATTCCCGGACCCAGCGGTCACTACGACATCCAGCTCCGCAACATCTACATCTACATCTACAACGACCGCGTCCAGTACATCATCATCATCATCATCCACACCCATTGGTGCCATTGTAGGTGGAGCAATAGGTGGGCTGGCTGCTCTCGTAGCTCTGGTAGCAGGCTTGCTCTTTTGCTATCGCCGCAAATATCCAAAGGAAAAACACCACGAAGATGACCCCAATAGTGTTTTCCACCGAGAAATCGATCCATTTATTCTTCCCGCCCCTGGTCCCATTTCTGCTGCAGTAGAGTCCAGCTTTACCGATAATCCCTCCAGACCTGCATCCACACACCCAAGCGCCTTCCCTTCCAGCTCAGGGCGGAGTATGATAACATCGATGGTACCGTCTACTGCAGGACTGGGAGTCGGAACAACTGCAGCTTCTTCAGCGTTATCACCTTTAGCCATGGCCACCGACTCCAAATCCGCTCTACGAGTCCAGAGGCAACAAGAGCTCGAACGTCAAATGCAGCAGATACAGCATCAAATGCTCGATTTGCAGAACGAAGCTGCTGAAAGGAATTTCGATATTGGTGGTGCTAATGGTAGTACCGTCAACTTGAATTCTTCGCAGTCGCGTGCAACGAGTGTGCGGAGGAGTGTGAGATCGCCGGATGGAACTGAGAAATCTGAAGATGTGTCACATCTGAAGGCGCAGATTCAGGCCATGTCGGAGCATATTGCGATTTTGCAGGACCAGCGAGATAATTCGGAATGGGCGCAGGGGATTAGTGATGAGCCTCCACCAGGATATTCACCTGCGGCACCCTCACCTGTGCAGGTGAGGTAGGCTCGAGGGTACTGTACTTGTTGTATTATTAGATTACATTCTATCTTTATTTTGAAGAATCCAAGAGGCAAGCATGGTTGCTTCGAATGTTCGATTTCCGTTTCCCCGTCGAACGTTGAGCTCTAATGTTGACTTGAAAAATAAATTAACTATAACTTCTGTTTAATCTAAATCTTGAATGCCCGGAGTCAATTGTCGAAGGAAGAAAAAACTAGGCGTATGCACATCTCGCAGAACTGACCTGCAAGTCCGCGGCGTGGTTCGAACACGCGGCTTCAAGATGCGACCAACATATTGCAATCTCACACTCTACCACTGAGTTACGCGGACTTGACTGCCTACCATAGTTATTGGGATTGATGAGACAGTCAACAAAAGTTGAATTGACCAGAAACGCAGCGAGAAGGCACTCAATGCACAAAGAACTGGCCTGGATTCCCTTTTGCTTCCTCTCTCAACTCCCCACCAGCCGGGGAAACGGGAAGGAGATTTACGGAGCCAAAACGCGTCTAGCGCGCGCTAATCTGCTTCGTTTCACCGTTCATGCTGCTTCGACTTCATGCTGCTTTGACTTTCCCTCTTCTTCTTCATCCTTGGGATGAACTACTTAAAGCTGAGGATGGCCCATTGTTGAAATCACGAATTAATCAACTATGCATCGCATGTGAGTTGTAATTAATCAACCTTGTAGAATGAACTGAGGTCGAAAACCCGAACTTTAACTAAAGACATCAATGACTGCTTGTGGCCTAACAACCACAGATTCAATTTTGCACGTCGTCAAGCTGTACTGTGATTGACTCTCTTCTTTTCCTTCATGATCGTTTGACTCAATGCGAGGGCAAACTTTCTCTTCACTGTTCTTGCCTGGTGCATTTTTATTTCTGGTCCTTTTCTCCAATGTCGTAGTCGTTCTTTCTACTGCGGCCGTCAATCGCTCCATTGACGATTCTTTGGGCGACTCTGTTACTGGACAAAGGCCAATCTTCCTACCTTCGACCGCAGGTGTTTGGGCGGACCAAACGCAGTGTTCAGTAGTGGCAGCCCCATGTGGTCTTCTCCCTCCTATTACAAGTGCTTTTGATGGAACATATACCGCCGCAACCTATAATCCTGGGCTCGACAATATGTCGATAACCTTTGACTTTACTGGTAAGCGAACAGCATGCTTCTCATCCAGCGCTATCGAAGCTCACAACTCGGTTTATCCTTAGGTACAGCTGTCTATATCTTTTTCATCCTCGCAAACAATCCTGCGGATGGAATCACTGCTACTACCGCTGCCAATTTCACCATCGATGGTGCTTTATCCGGTACCTTCAGCCATTCGCCCGACAGCAGTGCTCCGGATTTCCAGTTCAACCAAAGCTCCTTGGCTTTTTCCAAGACTGGTATGAAAAATGCAACGCACCAGATGATCATTAGCACGTCCGGCCTTAGTGAAAATGTGTGGGTGAACTTTGATTACGCACTATATACGTGAGTCCTTTCTACTTGTATTGCCAAATTTCCCGTTCATCTTCATTTTTCAGATTCCAAGAAGGAGTAGCGATCACATCATCGGGTTCCCATTCCTCCACTGCAAGTCGTTCCTCGACATCTTCCACTCCCTCGCCATCATCCTCGTCTTCTCCCGAGGCTGGAGCTGGCGCTTCCTCTTCCTCCTCGCACACAGGTGCAATCGCTGGAGGAGTCATCGCAGGATTGGTCGCAATCGGTGCTCTAATAGTGGCTATATTCTTCTGTCGCCGCCGCCAACGTCGGATGCATCAGTTGAGCAGCGGCGACCACGAAGCCAGCACCAACAACTCGGGTATACCGCGAGAAATCAACCCATTCATGCTACCCGCCGAACAACGACCCGCTCCTGCTCCAATGTCGGAGTATCAGAGCTCCAGCTTAGGTCTCCCAGGCAATCTTTTTCGATCTATGGAAATGTACCTAGCGAAACCGCGCGCACCTCCCGACCGAGCGATGCTGAAACGTCCCAGAATCAGAGTCACTACGCTGAAAGCTCTGTAGGCGCCATGAGCAGCAACGAGGATCACAGCCCTCAATACCAGAGTCGATCTGTTATATCTACTCTTCCATCTGGGCGCATCGTCATGTCCGCTGGTACAAGTCGGGATTATCTCCCCGCTACTGTTCTATCAGCGGCATATCCTTCCTCTGGAATCCTCGATAGCCGTGCGCATTTCCTTTCAGGAACCTCAACCTCAACATCCACAGATGCAAACCCTCCTGTGCCCTTGTTAGCTCCTGCTCCTAATACCAAAGCTGAACTACGGCATAGGCGACAACAGGAGCTCGAGCGCCAGATGCGGGTGATTAACGAGGAGATTGAGGATTTGAGAAACGAAGCTGCGGAGCGTGCTGAGGGTGACTACTACTACTACTACCACTTCTTCTGCTACTTCTCCATCACAGACTTCCCCTCCTGTGAGTCTGGTATCTCGAAGAAGTACACGGAAGAGTAGTAGAGGGGTAGATGGTAACTTGGACGTGGTACAGATGAAGGAGCAGATTAGGGCCATGTCGGAGCAGATTGCGTTCTTGCAGTCTCATCAAAATTCTGCGTGGGCGCAGGGGCTTAGCGATGAACCTCCTCCAGGGTATTCTCCTAATCCTGTAGAAGTGAATGCGGTGCATTAGATGGCGGTTTGATTTTCACTCCTTTCTCGGATACTCACGACGATCCTTTCTATGTATCTTGATAGTTATACCATTTCTGAATCAGTATATACCTATTTATGTGGAACAAGGGATACAAAGAATAAATGTATAAACAATACAACATCTACGTAGTTAAGATGATGATTCGAATTTGAACCGATGAGTGGGTGCTTTTCGACTCGGATGCTGTTGTTCCCAACTCCTACTGCTCTGTCCAGTCTAGTGCCGAACAAATGTCAGCGATGCATTGACCACTAGTAAACTCGAAATACACACCCTCGTAGTACTTGCGGGCACTAGCGGACGAGGAATTATGCCTTGTGCGAGAAGTATATCTACAAGACTTTCCTTGTCAGGGAGAGTAATATGTAAACTTAAAACGTGAAGAAACGAAGGACGAACCTCGAGGCCTGTATCTGAAGGTAAACGATACATACGGCCTTGTATCCATTTTGTGTCCATCTACCATATCCACAGTAGGTAGCGGTACGTTGTATTCCTCCCCAAACCTTGAAGGCGTTCAAGAGGATTTTTTTTTCTTAATGAACAACAAGTAGATATGTATCATAGCGACTTACTTTACATGATGTGTTCCTCCCTTCTTGGATCGTTCGTGGAGTACCTGTGATTCTAGCGTGGTAGAGCTGTATTCGTGCTGTAAAGGCTGACGAACAACGCGATTGATATGTAATCGCCAGAGGTCCAGGATGATTACACCGAACTTGGTATAGTCTACGGTGGATAGATGATCATCGTCGTCTGGAATGATCAGATAAAATCCCATGAGAAATATTGAGAAGCTAGACTGAGACCCTCACCAGTCACTTGGATCTCTGAAAAAACAAGATCTCGACGAGTATAGTCTGACGTCCGGGTGTATGATACGCGGAGGGTGTCTGGTTTGTCGGGAAAGCCTTGGGCGGGTAGCATAACATGGCGACTGCACTCTACGCCGTCGATGGTTATGATCGCTTCGAGAGCGACGTCTCTTATGGCGTTGTGCCAGAATACGGAGAAACTCTGTGTAGAGTGAGTTATTTCTGTTGTAAGAATAGGACGAGGGCAGGATGGCATTACCTTTCCTGCTTCGGAAGAAATGTATCCAGCGGCATTGGTACTATTGCCATTGCGAGATGACACAGCGCAGTGGGTATCTAGTCCGACACCGTCTACAGAGATCCAGGCAGAGTATGGACCAAGAGAAAGCATATTTGGTGAGTTGGCTAGAATGGAGAGAAAAAAAGTGAGAGACGCTGTTGAGGTGGGGCGAATATAAGTATGAATCACCAGCGTTTCCGAGTGAGTCATTTTATCATCTCTTGGAACCTACGTATAGGCGCAGTGGACCTCCAGGAGGCGATAATTGGCGAACACGAGCCGCGTTATCACAATCAGCAAATATTCCTCACAGTGAATCTGCCGGTGGGTACACAATGGATCTAAATCTCTGCGTGCAACGGGACATGTCAGTTCCTTGGACATACAATGAATTCTTGACAGTGCTGGCCGGCAAAAGCAGGTCGAGAGGCTCGGGTATGTCCATTTGAAGAAGCAAAGCAATAAAGCAGTAGACAAAGCAAGAGGAATCACGAGTATAAAATCAGGACCAAGATTGAGTTACGCTGTGAAAGAAGTTGTGATATCGCACTTCTTTATTTTCACATCATATCACATTTTGGACGTGGGGTATACCCTGCAGGAATCCGCGTGGTAGCCTCGAGCGAGCACAATGAAGGATCCGTATGAGTCCGAGCAGTTTCCTGTATTTTTACCCAATGGAGCTCCAGTGACTGTGGATGACAGGCGCCGCCTGTGGCAGTGGAAGCAGCTATTCACAGAAGCTATGTCAGGCCAGCTACCTGTAAAGAGCTTATGCTTATTTAAGGAAAACATTAGCTGTAAGGTATGTGATGAGGTCGAGTCAAGGAATACGGAACGAGGACCGATAGATTTGAATTTTGGTGAATTATGTTGCCGGTTGAACGAAGTATCTTCATCGGATGCAGTTATAGATACAGTAGATCCGGAGAGTTCCTTGAGCACAGAATGAGAATAGCAGAAGAGACCCATGCTGCGACTGGTCGAGGATGTCGAACGAAGAGCAGAATCACTGACCTAGGACCGGCAGCCTGGTGCGCAATGTCACATCAGGTGACAGGTGACTTTTAAATTTCGCTTTTTGCTTTTTGCTTCTTCATGGAGATTGACGTCCAGCCAAACTGGGCTAATGATCCTCGAGCATATGGTCTCGCAGATGGTCTCGCAGAATGGGCCGATGATCCTCGAGCATATGGCCTGAGGAGCCCAAATCTTGAACTGGGTTTTCCTGACGATCTTCTCGACCCTCATGACCTTGTTCAGCTTGACGGACCGTCAAATTCTACTACAGGGACCGCTCCAGAACAGCCAAATAATCACAGCGAAGATGTATCCGAAAATCCAGCAGATCTACCAGCGACACAGCCTGCAATAGACGTTAAACCAGAGGAACATTTGCCTGTCCCATCTGGTAGTAACACCGACCGACAGGATAATGAGGAATCTTCGAATGGACCACCTCCAAGCCAGCCTTTTCCTCTTTCGCCTCCCACCGTTCCAGTTGTCCTTGATTGTTTTGACATTCCATCTCCTGCCCCGAGCAGTGACGATGAGGATTT